TTCACACCAGTCAGAATGGCTAAAATCAACAAGTCAGGAAATGACAGATGCTGGCGAGGATGCGGAGAAATGGGAACCCTCCTACACTGTTGGTGGGAATGCAAGCTGGTGCAGCCACTCTGGAAAACAGCATGGAGATTCCTCAAAAAAGTTGAAAATAGAGCTACCCCATGACCCAGCAATCACACCACTGGGTATTTACCCTAAAGATTCAAATGTAGTGATCTGAAGGGGCACGTGCACCCGAATGTTTATAGCAACAGTGTCCACGATAGCCAAACTATGGCAAGAGCATATATGTCCACCAACAGATGAATGGATAAAGAAGATGTGGTATACACACACACACACACACACACACACACACACACACACTGGAATACTATGCAGCCATCAAAAACATGAAATCTTGCCATTTGCAATGACGTGGATGGAACTAGAGGATATTATGCTAAGTGAAATAAGTCAATCGGAGAAAGACAATTATCATATGATCTCACTGATACGAGGAATTTGAGAAACAAGACAGAGGATCATAGAGGAAGGGAGGGAAAAATGAAACAAGATGAAACTAGAGAGGGAGACAAACCATAAGAGACTCTTACTCTCGGGAAACAAACTGAGGGTTGATGGAGGATTGGGGTGGGAGGGATGGGGTGGCTGGGTGATGGACCCTGGGGGGTGTATGTGTTATGGTGAGTGCTGTGAATTGTGTAAGACTGATGATTCACAGACCTGTACTCCTGGGGCAAATAATACATTATATGTTAATTAAAAAAGTAATTGAAAAAAAGGACTATGTGTGAATAGAATTGAAAGCTGCTCAGAGGTCAAGTAAAATGAGGGCTAAAAATGTGCAGCGTGTGGGGGCTGGAAACGGCCAGTATGAACCACTCTTGCAGAAGTCTGTGTCGTGTCTGTCCTCAGCCAGACTTCTTAATGTCAAGGGTAGCAAAGGGCTGAGCAAACAGGCTTCCATACATTTTTGAGGGTGGTGGTGATTTACACACGCTAAGATCGGTTTTGCTGTGCCCTCCCATACCCCCTTGCAACCACCAGTTCATTTTCACATGCATTTTGACAAGACCAGTCCTGCGCTGGTCACTGGAGGCAGAGAGGTGGGTCAGATGCAGCCCTTGCCCCCAAGGAGCTCACAATCTGGTGGGGGGAGACAAATGCAAAACCCAGAGAATCATCGCTTCCAAGCAACCATCTTAGCTGCTCACCTACACCAAGCAGCTGGTGAGGGTGGCCCCATGCAGGAGTCGTGGCATCAGACACAAAACTACAGCTAGGTGTTTCTGGGAATTTCTGTGAGCCTTGGAGTGCCCGGCCACAGAAATCTGAGAACCTCTTTTGGTCCCAAGTCACTTCTCTAGGAGGGGTGGGCCCCAGTTCATTTTGGTCCCTAAAATTAACCTTGTTTGGGTTCCACAAATTAGATCTTCCAGTTTTACTTTACTTTATGGTACAAAAATATTAACTTTGAGACAATATTCTCTGGAGCTGAATTTTGGTTCTGGGAAAGGAGAAATCATACGAGCCCGACGTGTTCTCACAGGCTCACCAGAACACACCTCCCCGGTTTTTGCACATTGCATTCACCATTGCATGGAAAAACGGGCTGCTTTGACCTCATAAAATCATCTCTCCTCCAGCATCTGGGGGCGGGCTCCCCCCATGGCATTCCCAGTCCACGTCAACACTCCAAAGGAACCAGCTCCTCTCTAACTCAATGGAACTACCAAATGTGTGGAAAGTGGCTGGAAATTATAAATCCTTTTGGAAAGTTCCATCTGTGCCTACGCTGCGACGTATACCTTTATCTTGCACCCTCGATTAAAGTCAGTCCCGGGTCTTCCACAAAGCTACTGCTGCCAGCAGTCTTGACAAGGACGGGGCCGAGGGCTCAGCTGGAGAGCTGTGTCTGCTCAACAGAGAAACAGCTAGACTTTTCAGAAAAAGTAAAAACCCGAGAGTTTTAAAGGATTTATTCGATTTCTCCACATGATCACAGCTATGGTTTTACAATAGAGTCTGCTACTACTCACAAACAGAATGCATATTGAAACAAAAGCAATCCTTTCCTGCCCAAAGTTACACAGCAGACGCTGGGCCTTGTGGGAGCGGTGTGTCTGTCTCTCGAAGTCTCTGAGCGGTCCGCGTTCGAGACCTGATGCTAAGCGTTTAAAACAACTAGAAGGTGAACGACAGTTCCCAGGAGGAGATGGGTCCTGCATGGGACCTTGATGTGGCCGCAGGTAGGCTAATGGGCGCGCCCGCCGGGTAAGGGGTACACAGCTCCTCCCTCCTGTCCCTTTTTGCCACCCCCACTTTACACTGGATTTGTTTCCTTGTTTATTGTTGTGATTGAAGACACTTTACAGAATTACTCCTTTCGCGGGCAGAAAGGGTGATGGTATTTTACAACGAAAACTGTAAGATGCATGCTTACCTGTAGAGACACAGCTTCATATGGAATGCTGAGTCAACACCTAGGGTCATGTTTAAGTATCTGCTGACTGTCTCTTTTCAGCTCGTTTTATTTTAGAGAAAAACAAGAGGCTTCTGCTGCATGCAGCGTGGGGATGGAAAAACCGCTCTACACTGGATGACTGAAGACATTTTTAAGCGAGATGTGCACATATTAGGATGAACTTTATTTTTACATTGTTGTACAATTCATTCATAAACTTAAAAAAAAAATACAAAGACATGACTTGATTGTTGTCCCAGAAAAGATCTTCAGCCACTTCTGCTAGGGTCTCCTGCTCCTGCCCAAAGGACTGTTCAATTGCAACGATTTGTGCAACTTGCGAAAAATGTCCCAAGTGTGTCCTGACAGTGGTGAGGGATGACACACACATCCTGCAGCCTATCCCAGGGGTGGGGGTGGGGTGGACGACAGGCCCCCACACCTGCGACTCTGTGGAGGGCCATGTCTAGAAGGAACTGTCCCATAAAAGCAATACTGGGGATGGCGGGGTCGGGTTGGGGGGGCCCAGCAATTTTTCTGAGGCTTTTGCTGCCCAAACGAGACTTGGCAGTGTGGCTCCAGCCTCCTTAATAGAACAATGTACCTTCTGGAAGCATCTTCCATGATAAGTTTATAAATATAACATATTAACAGTGAGGAAAACCACTGACTTGAGCCCAACACACTGTGTCCAGTTGGAAACACGGGGAGAAACGGAATTCATCCCAGAAGCGCCCTTTTGCTAGATCTGGCCCTGGGATGCCCCAACAAAGCTTTGGGACACATGGATGGTAGCTTTGGAGGTGAGGGTTCTGAACGGCCTGTGGAGCACGAAGGACGGCGATGGACAGAGCGCACCACCCTCACCCCCACCTCCCCTGCCGTCGGCTTTGCCCTCTTCTTCTTCCTTCGTGGTCATCCCTTCGGAAAGGGTAATCTGGTGCCAAACAGCCTGTATCTTTTCTGGAACAACCTCGAGTTTACAGTTAGACTTTACTATTGGTACAGAGGGTGAAGAAAAGCCGACATATTTCATATGTTATCACTTTACTTCAACTATTTGTCAACAGTAACACTGATATAGTCTGCAAATACACAATACATAGAGTGTGGCCTCGCAGGACTGGCGCCGGGTGGCATGCAGTACAATTCGACTTGTCCTGGTCAGAACAACATCCTTTAAACTGCAAGATAGAGAATGCCTCGGGGAGCCTGACTCTGCAGGAAAACCTAACAATTTAGGGGCGAGCGGGAGCGGGGAGCCTCCCACCAGCCCGGCCTGGACCAAATCGGACACACCCGTGCTGTTTATTTCTCTCCTTCCAGGCAGAGGCCCGGGAGAGAAACAGGACATGGATGGGAAGATAAAGGTGGGCAGGTTAAAGTCACACTTCCAAAAAAAAAAAAAAAAAAGGCTAAACTCTAGATTGCTGTATTTGCTCTCTGTGGAGATTAACAAAGTGCTCGGTTTGCAGATTTGCTGGTATGGTGACCCCAGTGATATGACAAAGGGGTGGGTGTGGAGGGAAATGGGCAGGACCCTGAACCACCACCCCCCGCCCCGCCCTGGTTGGCCCGCCGGGTGAGCTCCCCTTGGTCGTCCTGCCGTCTGGCCACGGCACGCCACGCCATCCACGGAGCGCGGAGCCCGGGGCCCGCAGAGTCCCGCACTAGCTTCGCCCTTTCTGAAAGGGCTCTCCACCGGGGCAGGGGCCGTGGGGCAGTCCTCGGGTCCCACGGCTTAGGAGCACAGCACTGGCGGCTGCAGTGGCTCGAAAGGCTGAAACTACAAAGTACGGCCCGTGGGTGACTCAGTCACAGAACCGGACGCATGTGGCGCCCGGCCCCGAAGGAGCGGATGGTGTCACCACAACATGGAAGCGACAAGAGCACAACTGAGAGTCATGTGATGCCCTGGCAGCTAACTGGACCATGAGAAGGCAGCAGGGGGGAGGGCGTCGCTGGCGAGGGCCGGCACTTGTCAGCCGGGGTCAGGGTGGGGGGCCACGGTGATGACACGGGGGGGGGGTTGTGCTAGCACACGGCCACATGAAATCACGATGATCACGGCTACCACTCAGAAAACAAAATGGGAAACACACACACCGCCCTGGGTTGCTACATGCTAGAATCAGCCTTCGGGCTTGCTCTGAGCGGTTCCCGGCAGAAACTCGCTCGGGGGCTGGTGCCTGTTGCGGTTTGGAGACAGGATGAGTAAGTTATGGTGTTGGGGAGACGAGGATGGGAGCTGGCCGTTTTCATGTTGGAGATGAACACTTCTGCCGTGGATGGGTGCCCCCCCTCGGAGGGCTCTGAATGAGTGTGCATTAAATCATATGCATACAAAAGAAATATGGATCATGGGAATTCACAGTTATCGCAGCCATTAAAGTGTCTAAGAATCTGTGTCACCAATATCCTCGAACAACCAGTTCCTAACTAGTTGTCCCGAGTTGCTACTGTAGATTTACTGCATTTTTATCTATTTGCTTACCTGAAATAACAGAGTAGTTATAATACTGAGTACTTAGGATAGTTTTCTGTTAATAAAATAAGGATTTATACAAAGCAATATTGGACTTTTTAAACAGTTAGATGCTATGTTACTTGGCACAGTTAGTAATGATTGCGTAAAGATTTTAGCCAGTCCTGGAGGGACGTCTCTTCTTTTTATGAAAATATGGAAGTATCTGAATTTGTTCCTAGCATTTACGTTTTTGGTTTACTCTCTCTCACACATTCATGTAAGGTACTGTCTTCCTATCAGGTAAGTGGAGCTCCTCATAAAGTCTATATTGCTAATTTTGTGGACTGAGACGTTTCCTTTCACACACAAATACTACCTATACAGTATATATATATATATATTTATATATTTATATATTTATATTATATAAAGTTTACTTACGTTATTTTCATCAACCATATCAGGTCTACTTAATTTTTTGCCCATTGTCAATAAAAGAGCAATAAATGCAGCAAGTTTGGGTTTTTTTGTTTTGTTCTGTCTCTGGTTTTTGTGTCTCATTTCTTCTTTTCCTAGGCTGGGTTTTCATATGTGTGTACAATTAGGGAGCAGAGCTGAGTGCTGCTTTGGGGTGGGGGGGCATTTCGACATCTATGTGGCCAGTGGCCCCAGTTTCAAGGCTGATGGTGGCCAAGGCCCACCCCGGGGTCGAAGTGGATGGAACCTGGGACGCCCAGGCTAAGTGCGATCGGGAGCTCTGTTCCCTACAGCGCAAGCCCTGTGGGCTCAGGGCATCCATCCAGGCCACGGGGAGTGGGGGGTTGTGGGGGGAGGAGGTGGAAAGAGAAGGGCCCTGGGTCTGGTCTGAGGCGGACCGCCCCTGGGCGTGACTGTGTGGTGTGCACTTGTCCCGCGGAGTCTGGGACCCCGTCCCAGGCTGTCTACACAATTGTGCTGATGCCGCTGGGTTTGGCTTTGCTGCTAGTAGGGGGCGGCGGGGCGGGCGGCTGCCCGTGGTGGTGCACTGCATGGCCCGGGTGGCCTGGGTGGCCGGCATGGGCCGAGGGCAGCGGTGGGTGGCTGTGCACATGGGCCCCATAGGGCGGGTGCCCCCCGTGGGGGCCGTGGTGGTACTGGTGTGCATGCTGGATGTGCTGGGGGGGGTGGTAGTGGTGGTGGTGGTGGTAGGGGGGCGGGTTCTGCTGCATGTGGCAGTACTGGCTGTGGTGCCCGTGCACCGAGGCTGGCGGCGGGCCCTCGACGGGCCCCTGGTGATGGCTGGCCACCACCGTGTGCGGCGGGTGGGGCAGGCCCGGTGGGTGGGGCGGCGGCTGGGGAGGGGCTGAGGGCGGGTGGGCCTGGGGAGGGGGCTTCCCTCTCTTACTCCCAAATAAGGAGCCCAGGAGGGAGGATGAGTTAGGCATAGTCTGGTGTGGGCGAGATGGACACTCTCGTGTTGATGTAGGTCTCCGGCGCATGTGAGGACTGCTAATGATGGACCCCTAAAAAGGAAATTCATAGAAATCAAAATTAAAAGATCTTAAAGCACTTATGTCAGAATGATTTTTTTTTCTTTTTCTTTTTTTGTAATGTAAAAAGTCCACCCACTGACTGCTAGGCCTTAGTTCAACTCACTGGTTGCCGAGGGCAGGGCTGGGTGAGGCTGCGTGAGCTTCGCCTCCACTCATGCTACTACTGGGGGGCCGGCAGGGACTCAGAAGCGGCCTTCCACTGAGAGACATGGGGAGGGCCAGGGCATGAGGGACCCTCCTCCGGTCTGGTCAAAGCAGCAGCAGCAGCACAAGTGTGACTTCTGCTCCCGTCCTGACACGGAAGGCGGCCTGAACTTTTGGATCAGAATGATTGCCTGGGGGTGCCTGTAAGCAGCATGTGCGGAGTGGAGTGGGGTGGGCTGGTGTGCATGAAGGACCCCGTTCCTGCTGAAACTGCATCCTACGCTCTCCTGGGTCCTCTCCACAGGTGCAAGGGCCAACTTTTCTGCCTGCGTGGGCCCCGAGGTTTCTGGGAAGCTGGTGGTAGGGACAGGAGGGGGGTTGGGGACCCTTGTTCTGGGTGGGGGGTGCTGCCTAGGCATTTCACTGCAGCTACCTACTGCAAACCAAACAAGGAAAAAGAAGGAAACAAAAAGGTCTGCAAGCTGAGGTTAAGATGTGAACAGTAATATAGAGATGGTTGGAAGATGAATGAAATCTCATGAAATCCACACGGAATTTTTCTTGCTCTCACGGCTCTCCTCCCCCGAGCTAGCTAAGCCAAGTCCATGGTGCCCTGACTGCAGACACACAGCAATCGAAACTCCAGGAAGGAAGCGATGGGGATGGCGGAGCATGGAAGTCAAGAGACCGGCAAACCTCCCCCCAGGGCAGCGTAGCTGGAGGGTGCGTGGGCGCCTGGTGGTGGTGCCTCCCCCCCAAGGAACAGTGCCGGCAGGCGGGGACCCTGAGGGGGGAGTGCCGGGAAGCCGGGATGTTAACCATGCTCGGAGCCACTGGGGACAGGGTTAAGCGGGAACTAAAACACGGAATCCAGAACCACCCCCCACCGGTCCAGCCCAAACAAGCGGTGAGAGGCACGGGCGATTCTGGGCGGGAGAAGCTGGCATGCACTGGGGCTGAGACAGGCGGGGGGGGGGGGGGGCGGGCGTGTCTGCGCCTCTGTGCAATAGGGGGAAGGAAGAGCAAAACAAAACAAAACGAAAACAGAAAAAAAAAGGACAACAGATATAAACCAAGGATTGGGGAGGCAACACACGACAGCCAGCTGGACGGAGGCGCTTCCTACTTACTTCCACATTGCTCTCTAGCGATCCCGCACTGCTGCGACGCCCTCGCTTCCCTGCCCAGAACATGCAATACCAGAGGTTAGACACGGACACGAGGCCGGGCCGCCGCCTGCCTGGCCCTGAGCTGCCACCACCGCCACCACCGCTGCCGCCAGCACCACTGCCGGCCAGGGTGAGGGTCGGAGGACGGGCACTGCCGGGAAGCTGGCGGCAGGGCAGTAGCGAGTTAAAAAAAAGGGGGGGGGGTGCGTGGGTGTTTAAAGAAAAAAAGGAAATGTTTTTCCAACCAGCCCCAACTTCATGCCCCTTCTGCTAGACTGGCAGTCCGATGGGGGCAGGGGGTGCCTCCAGGTGGGCTGAGGCACGCGCGCAGCTGGGAACCTAGCCGCCTGCTAGGAGGGGACAACCGGACAGGGGCAGCTCCTATGATGGCTCAAAGCAAACAAAACGTGGTCCTGCATAGCCGTGACTTGGCGTGGATTTCATACACGCATGTATATGCATATTCGTACATACATATACATCCCCCCACCTCACAGGCAGGGTGGGCTCGATGGTTAGGAGGAAACTATGCTTGGTGTCCTGTCTTTTCCTCCTGGGAAGCTCAAAGGTGCCCGTGCCTCTGGAGTCTGTTGTTTGGTTTGTGCAGTGCCCTGGCCAGGGGCAGGAGACAGGGGCAGGGCTGCTGGGAGGGCCCAGGGTTGTGCTTCCTGTCTGTGAGCCACCCCCGCCTTCAAACCCCAGGATACTACAAAGCATTCCATCAGCTGTGAGTGCTCCCTGCCAACGGCTTTAAATATCCCCAGCACAGGGCGCATAGTAGGCACTTGATACACGTTGGCTGTGTCCAAGGAAGGCTGGGTCTTCTTCTTGGTTCTGGAGGTCCAGGGCTCACCCTGGCCTCCCTAGTCCCTCCGGAGGCCATCTCCATGGATTTTGGCAGGACGCTGAGGTTGGCAGGAATGGCTGGGTGCCCAAGCTTTGGGGTCTGGTCTCCAACGGGCTCTCAGGAAGGAACAGAGAAGGGCCTCCCGCTTGACGTTCTGTAGGCTTCCATCTGTGCAGACCTGGCCATGAGCCAAGCATGTTTGTTCTTGGTCAAGCCCCAGGGCCACGCAGGTCAGGCATCCGCGCCAAGGAGACGGATGCTCTGGTTGGCCCAATTCCCGTGAGCAGGATTCACACTCAGGTCTGCCTGTCCACCTCTGGGGCTGGGAAGATTGGCCATGCTGCCTTCTAAGCTGAACCCAGGCTGAGCCTAGGAGCCTGGAAGATGGAAAGATTGCTACCTGCCTCTCTCTGGCCCACATCCTAGCCATGTGCTGGGTGGAGAGAAAACGTCTGTGGGTCTGTGGCATCCAAGTGTACTGGACCGTGCCTGGGATACAACCTTGATCCTGGGCACACAACAGCAGACTCGGGGCACATCTGGTCCCTTTGCTTTGCCTGCCAACCCCCAAACCTGAGTTCTAGCTGGGAGATTGCTTGACTCTGGGAGTGAGCTCTGAGAGAGCCTCAGAGCTCGCTCAGGACAGGGCCACATAGAAGATTAGGGCAAGAGGATTTTCTACAGGTTTCTGAGGACTGGGGAGAACCAAACAGGACCTGGCCCTTGTTCCTAGCTGGAAAAAAGATGAAGGTCACGTATCCTCATCTTCTGGCTGGTGTGAGAAGATGGGCTGACCTTCTTCCGTTCCTGCTTTTTGTCTCAAAACGGCAGTCCAGAGACATGGAGCAGGAGGAAGCCCTTTGGCTGGAGAGGTGATTCCACCTGGCGCTCCTTTGATGTTTTACCTTGGTTTCTGCATCTGTGAAATGGGCGTGCCCCTGCTTCCAAGTGGGCCGGACATGAGCATCAGACACTCAGGTATCATGGCACCATGCAGAAATGCCGAGAGTCAGGTCTCTGCTGTCTTTGGGATTTTAAAGTCAGCTCTCTGGCCCTTCTAAGCCTAGAGGGCTCCCCTGACTGAAAACTGGGGACAGAGGAAGGCCAGCCCACCCCGACTCCCCTGCCGGTGCCCAGCAATGTCTTCCGGTTGGCCGGCTTCTCCCACTGGGACTCAAGCTGGGCCTGGAGCTAGGTTTGAGGGCTCCATATGGTATCTGGTCTGAAGTAGGACAAAACCCTCCTCTTCTTCCTTCTCCTGCCCCCGGGAGGTGGGCCAGGCTTCAAGATGGTTTTATCTTGGATGTCTTTGTGTGATGTTAAGTTTCTTGGAATTCACCTTTTCAACTTCTGAATCGGCATGAGATGTGGGGTATCCTTACAAGAGCTCTCGGCAGTCCAGTCCCAGAGCCCCTTACTTATAGGCACACCCCACAGACACCTGCTCACTGTAGACCTGGGTTCGGGGGAGTGCACACAGAACACCCCATGTACTCATGGAGGCACTGTGTGCCGAGAAAGTGGCTCTCGCCCCTGCATCCACACTATCCCTCACCTGCACTCCAAACTCCAGGTACCCTCCCTTTCTCTTGGGATCTTACAGCAGCCATGGTGAGCCCCACCCCACCTGGTGTCTCTCTTAGAGCCAGATCAGGCCCTGCCAGGCCAATCAGGGCCAGGATCAGGAACCATATCCGGAAGGCGCCCCAGCATGGCTCTCCACATCCTCCCCCTGCTTCTCAGTGTCAGCACAGGGTACAGCAAGGGCTCTCGACCCAGGGTCTCACCCCACGGCCCTTACCGATGCTGGAGGCTGAGCCGGTGCTGCTTTGGACACTGGCCACCAGGAGCCACCAGCTCTCCCCTGGGAGGGCTGCCTTGGCACAGGACATGGCAGGTCTCCAGCTAAGCCCAGGAGCAATGACAGGGGCAAGTGGGTCCTATGGCCTCTGGGAGACAGCCTCTTCCTGGAGACTGGTGTTGAGTAGCTTGACCGGGAAGGGGCAGGAGGATGTGGGGCACTTGGCGGGGAGTGTCAACCATGACTTGACTGATCTGGGCCAGGGGCTAAGGCCCAGTCACACCTGTGTCCCTGGTCCTCGTAGGTCCTTGATTTCAGGCTGGTAGGACTCTGAAATGAGCACGGGGTCCCAGGCGAAGGAAGACCCTGTGGAGAGCGTTGGGCGGGGCCTCCCAGCTCAGGCCCATCCCTCTACCTCTCAGAATGTCAGGGGCTCCTGGAGGTCTCCTCGAGGTCAAGCTATAACTGCCTCTTGGGTCTCCAAGGTCTCCATCTGAGGTGTGTCGTCTCTGGAATGATGTGTGATCACAGCTATTCTCAGGAGTGGTGCCACGCCAACTGCGGAGTGCTAGCTTGCCTGAGGGGAGGCGGTGCCCCTGACACCTCGCCTCTTCTCCATGAACTCGTCTTGCTGAGGGCCGTGGTGGGTGGAGTGATGCTGCCTCTGGAGAGCGGCACCCTGACCCAGTCCCAGTCCAGGGCATGGAATTCCTTGTCTCCAGCCACAGAGCCCAGCATCTTCTGGGATGGTTGCCGACCCTGGCCAGCCTCCCTCAGGAGATCCCAAGTGGCCCATTCCTAGTCTGGGGCCATGGCAGCCACCAGCACTCTGGCACCTTGTGCCTCGCCTTCCCGGCTTCCTGGGTAGTGGGTGCTTTCTTCCCTGGGGACTTTTTTCATTATCTCACGGGAAGACTCTATCCCTAGAGGTTTTCTTAGTTCAGAATGCCTCAGTGACAGTGGGAACAGGAACAATAAACGGAAAGTAGCCAAACCTCAGAGCTCTGTCTGTCCCGTGGCCAGGGGCCTGGGCACGCAGCTCTCCCTGATCCCCAGGAGCTGGAAGAGACGTGGCTGGCAGTGAAGACCATTCTGGCCATGGTGGGAGCCTCAGTTTCAACAGAGCCACAGTCACTTGAGGGGCTGCACAAGGCCCCTCAGCCCTCTAGGCACTGCATCAGGGATCAAGAGAGGCCAGGACTTACCCACTGCACAAACTCAAACAGAGGCTCCAGCCCCCAGCCTGCAGAGGCCCAGAGCAGTCCGGTATTGTTGAGCTGGGTTTAACAAGCCATAGGGAAAACCAGCGGTTCTCAACCAGGGGCAGTTTTGCCAACAAGGGGCAATTTTTGCCCCCTTCTCCCCAGAGGATACCTGAAAATTTCTGGAGGCATTACTGACTGTTATGACTGGGGGAGGTAGGCCTGGGCTCCCGTAGGTAGAGGCCAAGGCCACTGCTAAATATCCCGCAGAGTGTAGGACGGCCCCCCACAGCACCAAATGTCAAGGGTGCTGGGGTTGAGAAACTCTGGGTTAACCCTCATGCTGGCAATGGATTTCTGATTTTTACCATGGGAAAAAAAAAAATATGACAAGACAAAAAAAAAAAAAAAAAAAAAAAGGAAAAAAGAACAAATGACCCCCTAACAAAAGAACAAAAAGAAAGAAAAAAACAACAACAACCCAAATTTCTGGGCAATGGCTAAGCCGCAGGAAGGCAGGACTGCTGGTGGGACAGGGATGGGATGGGGTCCCGGGCAGGCTCTTGTCATGGGGCCCAGAGCTGGCCACCAGGTAGTGCCCAAGGCAGGGTGGGCTGGGTGAGCCCTCGGGATGGGAGGGAGCCGGTTTCGGCCTGACAGGGTCTCTTCCAACAAACCAGGGCATATAATCAGGCTCCCAGGAGAAGCTGCCTGGCTAGATGGGACACGATAGACTGGGGAACACGGGGATAGGGAGGGAGGCCTGTCACCCACAGCTCCTCTGATAGCGATGCAGGCCAGGCAGGGCTGGAGCAACACTCGAGGGCGGCTGGCCTCAGCTCAGAGGACCTGGCCGGGCGAGGGCTGCCAGCAGAAGCTCCCTGAGGCTCTCTAGGCACACCCTCCACCCTGGGAAATCTGGGAGGCTTAGTGATGCTGCTGGCTTGGGTGTTAAGAGGCTGGCAGCAAATAAACACACACAGAAACGAAGAAACAACAACAAAAACCACAGTCTGCCAGGGCTCTCCCCTGATGTCCCAGGGGCAGCCGTGGCCACCACCTCGGGGCTGGATGAGGGGGGACCTGGGTTCCCCAGGAAGGGAGACCTGTGTGAGGGAAGCAAGACCAGGGACAGCAAGAGGGGGGCTCCAGACACAGTTTAGAGGGCTTCACTCCATTTCATTCATCAGCATAAAACACAGGGACGCAGCAGCACAGAGGACAAGGGACACATCCATCAGCGGGGCCTGGCTCGCTCTGTGTGAGAGCAGTTTCCGGAAAATAAATAAAAGGACAATGAAACCCCTAGAAGGAGAAAGGGAGAATGGGGGTAACCTCCTGGCTGTTCTGCCTTAACCAGTGGGTCCTGTTTCCAGAGAAGCCGGCTCTGTGTGGTCAGGTGTTGCTACGGTTTGGGGACGTTCACAGGGAAGTGCTCGGTTGGAACCCTGCCACCGCCACTGGCCGCTACCGCAGGCTCTTGCTGCACATGACGCTTGCCCCAGCGGCCTGGTTTGAGTCCTGTGTGCCCTGGGCTAGGAAGTGGGGGCCAGGCCGGGCTCTTACCCGCTTCGGAGAGGTCCCTCAGGGAGCTGCTGAGGGCACTGCGTTTGAGGCCCTCCCCGCCTGCGTAGCTGTCATCCAGGCAGGCCCGGCTCAGCGTCCCATTGCCCGACTCCTTCTTGAGGCTGGAGCACTGGGACATGCTGGGCCGCACGACGCCCTTCTGCTTCTCAAGCTCCGCTGAAACAGAGGAGGCGAGGGACTGGTGAGAGGGGACAGCCTCGGAGGCAGGCATGGGACCAGGGCCCTCCGGGCAGGCATGGCAACACACCCTGGGCTGAAGTCAGGGCCCAGGGCTGTCTTGGGAAAGAGAAGGTATGAATGCCGCCTTTCACAAAAGGGAGCTGGAAGGAAACCCTAGAAGGGAGGCTGGAGGGGCACGGGCCTTGGGGTCTGCAGGAAAGACAGTCACTTTGCAGGCCTCAGGGCAGACGAGGAGACGGGCCTGGTCTGAGGATAACCAAGGGGTAACCCGGCCTGGCTCGGGAGGGGGGGGCCAAAGGTGGAGATAGCCATGTGCCTCTAGGGATCGAGGCTTGGAGCCAGGAAAGGAAAGGATTATAATCCGCTCTGCTGGAACCCAGGGGATGGGCTTGGCTCTGGCCCCATTGGTCAGTTGGGCCCTGACGTGGAAGACAAATAATCACCACACCAAAGTGCAGAGAGCGCAGCTCCGGAACGCTGGGAAAGCTGGTCTTGTGGGATGACCGGGGAACCGGGGCCCTCGAGGGACATGCCGTGTGGTCCCACCAGCAGGATGGGCCTGGGCCACTGAAGCCCCGGCTCTCACAGGGAGGCCTCTGCCGCCCTGCCTGCCATGCAGCCTCCTCTGGCTTCGGGCAGGTGGGCTGTCCTGTCATAGGGCTGTGGGAAGGACGGGCGAGACCTCCCAGATAAGCCGGGGCTGCTGGCTGTCCCTCTCCAGGGGGCCCGCAACTTACACTCTATCCTGTGCTTCTCCATCTCCTGCACTTCGGCAATGGACTCCCGCAGGTCATCAGTGAACTTCTTCCGGTCTTGAGGATTGGGTGCATTGAAGTTTATTAACACTTTGATGTCTGCCCCGGGGACAGCAGATGTGAGCCGGATGCCATTGGGGTAGTCTGCAGAGGAGGAGAGGAGAAGAACCCATGGGTCCCTGTGTGATCTCTGCAATCTCCCTCCAGGTCAAGAAAATACTAAGAAGTCCGAGAGCCAGGCTTTCAGAGGACACGTCCAGCCGGGAAGGAAAGGCATCCGCAGAGCAGACCACAGGGACTGCCAGGAAATCCCCATCTCCCGACTTGGGTCCCTGTTGTTCCATCTGTAAGTCAGGGTCAGATCTGGCTGATCTAGGCAGAAGCCCCAGCCCCCATTCTTCCTCAGCCTGAAGGTCATGGAGCCTGGACCCTTCAATTCAAGGTCCCTGGTCACTGCCTGCAGCTTGAGAGAGTGTCCAGGGGGGAGTGAGAGGTAGTGTCCTGTGCTGGGTAGGGAGTCTTATCTGGTCACCTTGGACAATTCTCAGGGTACGCTGAGCTCTGTTCTCTGCCAAATGGCCTCCAGACCCTCGTTCCCTTACATGCATCATGGGCGTTCTATGCTCAAGGCACTACGCCAAGGGCAGCATCTTTCTGCTCAGACCTGCCTGGTGCCACTTCTGAGCTCATGGGGTCCCTGTGGCTTTGGCCCCTGGCAGCGCCTCTCTCTTCAGTGGGTGTCTGTAGGCTCTTGGCTCAAATACCAATCCCACTCTTGCTCAGACCTCGGTCAACGCTGGGAACTCAAACGCCTAGAGGTCCAAACATGTTCCCTAAATGTAGGAAGCAGACCCCACGAGACCTCAGTGCGACAGAGCGAGTGCAGAGAGGGGCATGCAGCCCAAGACCACCACACGGGAATGCGGGCCTAGCAATGCCAAATCCCAGTTCTTAAGAGAAGTCGACAGTAACCACAAGTTCCGTATGAAGATTTCAATTTCAGCTCAACAAATTAAAAAATAAATGTATAAATGGAATATAACATAACTGACCTGGGACTGACCCATGGCTACCACTCTGAGATCCATGGTATGTATGAAGTCATGTCCCGTAGAAATGTCAGTGTCAGCTCTGGGGCTCCTGCCAGTGCCTTGTGTCCAGGGATGAGGGCTGAGCCCTGGGAATCTAAAAATGATCATGGGGCAGCTTCTGCCTGAGGATTCAGTCTGGTGGGGCCACTGCTGTGAGCATCATGGCCACTGCCATTCCTTCCAAGCAGGGGCCTGCTCCTCAGGATGTGGGATCCTTCCTGGGGCTGCTTGGTGGAAACCGGGGCAAGGCAGGGTTCCTGGCCTGGGATATGGCAGAGCAGGAGGTAGGGAGATGGTATGGTCAGCGTCCTGGGCTCTTCGGGGGCACAGTGGGTGCCAGTTCCATTTAGGACAGAGAAGGGGTAAAGAGCCCCAAATGCAAGCCCTTAGGCCCCAGGGTTTGGGATGGCCCAGCCACAAGTCCCTGGAACTTTCTCAACCTGCAGATGGACAGCTGATCAGATAGATGGTAGCTTGGTGACCTGTCCGAGAGGATGAGGGCTTCCCTGATGCTGGAGATACCACGACACTCCACAGGTGCAGGCAGCAGGACCCAGCCCCTACCCCCCATCTCAGGAGGCCTGGCTCAGCCTGCAGTTCAGGGACCTCCAACAAGGACGGGATGAAGAGGGAGAGAGGAAGAGGGAAGGGCTTGAGTAATGGAGAAGGACGAGATCAAAAGAAGAAGTCAGGAGTGTCAGCTCCCCGCCAAACTCCCTAGGCCCCACAGACCACTCATACCCAGAGGAGACTTTCCAACAGCAGCTAAGCATAAATCCCGTTTCAGGAGCTGTTCTCAGTACTTCATGTGCATGTACTCAGCTAAATCTATGAGCTATCAGCCCATTTCATAGACAAAGGGAATGGAGCCCAGAGAGGTTACATGAGCCGGGCCACAGACCCGCTAAGGGCAAGAGCAGCGCTGGCTCCCAGGCTCTCCACCCAGGGCTGAGATCTTCTCCTCTACCTCCTCTCAGGCATGACCTCAATCTATTTGTTCACTTACGCTGGCATATCACCTATGCTGTTTAACTTGAGGTGTTCCCTGCAACATTTTATTGATGTAAATGCACTCTGCTCTAAATTAAGAAATCTCACCAGCCGTAAGCAGAAAGAACAGGAAAAGTAAATGTGATAACCATCGTGTACAATGTCACTAAATTCTTCCCTGTTACAGTTGCTTATCAGACCCCTGGCCTATATGCTGCTCTCCGCAGGTGACACAGGCCTGAGAGCATGCGCAGGAGAGCTACCCTGGGGTTCTGTCCTCGGGGAACCAGGCAGAAGGGGAGATCACTGGGGAGCACTGTGCTTCCTGATGACAGGGTGAGAGCTGTGATGCCGTCTCCCGCCCCACAGTGCTGTGGCCACACGTGGACGAGCACTCCAGGCCACATGCTCGTGGCCTGGCCGTGGCAGGCCTCCCCTCCCCGCACATACTTACACTGGTTCTCGAAGAGCAAGACCTGCATGCCGTACAGGGAGAAGGACTGTCGGAAGCTGTAGGTCACGGAATTCTTCTTTTTCTGGAAGATCTTGGTAACCTGCGAAGAGCCGGAGACAGAGGCTAAGTCCCATCACCTGCCCAGGCGCAGCTCTGGGAGCTCGGGATTCGAAGTGGGCCTAATGTCAGAACCCCTTCGGCGATTCAGCGGTCAGGGCAGCCTCTGGGGCAGGAAAGGGCTGCGCACTCGTGCATATCCTGACATGAGTGCTGGCTTCTGTTGCTACAAGTCCCAGGTGTCATGCTGGCTGGGAATGACGCCCGTCAGGCTAGCACAGAGGTGACAGGCACGGCATCCCCCAAGACCCTAAAGGTGCCAGGCCAGATGCTTAGGCCCAGGACCCCTCCTGAGCGCTCTGTCTGCAAGATTAATTTTGGGGGAGAAAACGGAGGCTCAGAAGTCTGAAGGAGGGGCGCCTGAGTGGCTCAGAGGGTTAAAGCCTCTGCCTTCGGCTCAGGTCATGATCCCAGGGTCCTGGGATCGAGCCCCGCATCGGGCTCTCTGCCCAGGGAGCCTGCTTCCTCCTCTCTCTATCTGCCTGCTTCTCTGCCTACTTGTGATCTCTCTCTGTAAAAATAAATAAAATCTTTAAAAAAAAAAGAAGTCTGAAGGAACTTGCTTGAGGTCAGGGACTCTTAACAAAGGATCTGAAACCCACAGGTCTGGATTCTAACCTCGGTTATCAGAGAAGACCAGCTGGGTCTCAGGCAGGTAGGGATATGGGGCAAGGGCCTCTAGCGAGAAACCTGTGGCATGGGAGAGACAGAGACCCAAAGGTTCGCCCTGCTACCTGCAGGGGCATCTTTATCCCCAGTGGCTAGCACCCATGCCACCTTTTTTCCAGGCAGGAGTGCCTCAGTTTCCCTTTGGGGAATCTCCTCTCTGCTACGTTTAATCCGGTGGTCCTGGGGCTGGGCAGTGACCCAGGCTTAGCCAGTGAGACAGCACTGCCCCTGCCTGGAACCCGGGAGTGGCTCGGGCATGGGCCCGGGAAGCAATGAGACCTTGGCTTGGACTCTTATGAAGAGAATCCCACTGGTGGCCAGGGATGCCAAGGAGGCCCCAGGGGCGGGGCAGGATAAAGCCTGCAGCTACCAAGGCTGACACTCCCTTCTTGGACAGAAGCTGCCTGAGGAGGAAGCCTGCACAGCTGAGAGACAGCCCGACAAGGAGTCCTGCTGACACAGTTTGAGCCTCTGCGAATAGTTGGGGCTGAAGGCCCAGAGACTCCTCTGGGCTTTTTCAGAAGCCAACGAAGCCCTGTGTTCATTGGCAGAGCCATGAGTTAGACTCTGCCTCTGTGAACCCAAAGACCGTGGGGCTAACTCCATCCCTGCCACCCACTCCCCACCCCCGAGTGTGCCTCTTCCAGAGATGCGGCCACACGGAGACCACAGCTGCAGGTCAAGGGTGCCCTGAGTCGCGCTCCCAGCCATGGCCCACTGTGGGGAACCACATACCACCAGGAGGTCGTTAAACAGGAAGATTTCTCGCTGGTGCAGTCCGAGTTTCTGAGGCTTATTTGGGTCTGGAACCTCAAAGAGCCGGCAGTAGCAGACCAGCCTCCGATGGGGCAGAGAGAGCACCTGTGTGGGGAGGGGAGCCCTGCCGTCAGCCCCCTGCCCCTCGGCAGGAACCCGGGCAGCACACTTGAAACCCAGCCTGTGCGCCTGGCATCTGAAAATGCCCTCTCCCACCAACCATGCATAACAGAACAGACACGTTTGGCCTCCTAGCAATTCTCCCCCACTCTTCCTCAGGAGCTCTCCTGAAGGGCTGTGGAAAGCGCCCCTGCTTCTAGTGATACCTCCTTTCCTTTCCTTCAGGCAGGTCCCAGACTTCTTAAAGCATCACGCTCATGTCGCAGTCCCCTCCTCCCCCCAGTGAGAAACTCACCATCCCTGAGTCCCCAAAAAGTGCCTGTCACAGACATAAGCCCGGAAGTCTCTGTAAAGTGTTCTCCAGAGAGTGTCTACTCTAGAGGGGAAAACTGAGGCACAGAGAGGTTGGGCAGCTTGCCTCAGCCACACAGCTGGGAAGTCACAGAGCCAGGAGCAGCTTCTGGGCCCCTTCTAGAGAATCCTCATGGTTCTGATGCCTGAAAAGCCCTGTCCCGAATCCTGAGCCAGCTGCCAGAGCTCTGTGGGGCCTGGCCTGGGCCTCTGCTCTGAACATGGCTAGCATGGGTTCATGTGCATCCCCGCCCTGCTGAAGCCCAGGGTACTCTCAAGGCCAGGGGCAACTTGTATGGTGTCTAAGGGCTGTGGTGACAAGCCGTCTGGGAGGCCCAGTCACGGCTCTGAGGGTCCCCCAGCTCACGAAAGAGGCAGTAAGTTAGAAAAGGGCTGGGATGTGCTGGGTATTGTCATTGCAGGCAAGGAGGGTCCACTCTGCCAACAGGTGCCCTGGGGCAGGGATGCCCGAGCTCATCTCACCCCTCGTTTACCAGTTTCTAAACCCAGTCAGGACAGGGATCCCTTTCCCCAGTCCTCAAACAGGGAGGGAACACATGGCCCAGGCTGGTGTGCTCAGGGAGTGGCCCTGCTCAGAGCAAAAGTGTGAAGGGGAGAGGATGGTGGGAGGTGGGGCTGGCGAGGTGGGTGAGGGTTGGTCAGTATCCAGTGGGCCCTCTCTGGGGGTTAGCTGGCAAGAGCGGAGAGAGGACAGTTTTGTGATACTGACTCCCGCAGCCCGGGGCTGCCTGCTGAGAGGGAGAGACAGACATGTAAGGCATGTGCCATGTGCCTGCCAGGCTGGTGTATCTCCAGGTGCTCCTGGGGTGAGCAGGCACACTTGCTCCAGGCCATGGCAGTGGAGTATCAGGGGTCAGAGCATGGGTGGGGTGGTAAGGGTCGTCTGTTTCAGGCACAGTGCCTCTGGGTCTGGGGATAAGCCTTGGCTTTAGAGCTCTGCCTGCAGGAGAGGGAAGGAGACTATGTGCTCTGGCCTGCTGGCCCAACCCTCCCCCTGGGCCCGCAGTCTCTGGGCCTGCAAAGATTCGAGGCTGGGATCATTATGCAAATCAAATTTCTCATCGCTCCAGAAATTAATTCAAAAAGTTAGAATTGTGGATCCGGGAGCCAGGAGATTGCAGTGATCTGAACAAAGGACACGGGGCCCAACCCTACGGCGCGCTATCAGCCAGAATATAAAAGCAAAAGGATACTCACACAGCCAAGCCCGTGATGCAGGGATCCAATCTAAGCAGGAAACATGAAACAAAGAAAAAAAGACACCAATGATTGAAGAAATGCACCTGGGCCCGGAGAGAGCTAACAGGACGACATCCAAGTAGGTCAGCACCCCTCCTGTGGCTCCCACATCCTCTGTCCTCTGTCCAGACATGCCCCACACAGTAGCTGGGGAGACCTTCTCGCTGCCAGAACCCTAAGGCAGCAACGAAGGCATTCCTGGGCCACCAAGGGACCACTGCACAACTCTGGCTGTTGGTTTCTTAAGAGCCGCAGGCTCTTTTTTAAACAGAATCCAGAACCAATGGCTGTTACTCCCAATAGCAGGAGCCACCCTACACATGCAGTTATTCCCCCTAAGGCGCTGGGTTCCAAATGGCATCAGGGCCGCTGTCCAAAGCCGCAGCCAGTGAGGTGGGCCAGGGGTCACATGAAGCGGGGGTGGGTGGGAGTGGGGGAGCCAGGGACACTGGGTCACCACATACCGGCTTCTTCCCCACGATGAGCTTCTCCACCTTCTGCACCTGGGACACATGGTCCTCATTGGTCTTCAACTCCCGCTTGCGAATGCGCTCGTAGATCCCGATCAGCATCTCCCGGGGAATGTCCTCACCATCGTCCACACCTGGGTGGGAGAGCAGCCGCCAGGTGTCAGCGAGGGCCGGGGCCTAGGTGGCGGGGCACCCCTCTGCTTCGGGCCCCAGGCTCACCCCTCATTTACCAGTTTCTAAACCCAATCAGAAGAGTGATCCCTTTTCCCAGTCCTCAGCAGAACTAAAGGCTCTCTGGACCCACACCCTCGAACATCTTCAGTCCATTACAAAGTGTCTCAGAATCCTTCCACCAGGACCAAGCCAGCACAGCCAGGCTCCAAGGCTTTATGAATATCAGCTTGGTAACAGGCCTGGGCTCAAGTTCCTGCTTGGTTCCCAAGTTCCTGACAAGCCACATGACCGAGTCCCTGAGCTGGGGGTCCTGTTTCAAGTGGGCCACCGAGACCACTGGTGGCTTCCCAGAGATCTTGTGAGGAGGCCAGAGCAGCCTTGGTATTTCCCAGAAAGTGCAAATTCCGTGCACCTGCTGCTAGCTGTCATCCCATGTCACATGGCACAGAAGCTGGAGGCCTGGCCTTGAACCGGAGTTGTTCTGACAACAGGCATGTACTCTTTCTGCTAAACCCTGAAAAACTGCTGTGAGGAGAACAGCCCCACTCAGGAGAGAAACCCAAACCCACACCAGTCCTCAGACTGCAGGCTGGCGAAGATCCGGGGGTTTGGTATTGGGCACTGTTGATGAAGCTGTGGGAAAGGGCCTCACACACTGCAGGTGGGACGGGGGCCTGGTTCCGCCCCTGCCCTGGACCACTAGCCACTGGCTATCACAGTTATAAACTCAAAAGCCTCTGGGCCACTGATTGCATTTGGGGGAATTTATCCCGGGGGACAGGCTCCACAGACAAGGTGACTCATTGGAGCATGGTTTCCAAATAGTGGAAGACTGGAATTCACCCATTTACCCATTCACAGGAGACCAGTTAAGCCATCACAGCACAGGAGGGCAATGGAATATCACACACCTGCCAGGAAAATGAGCAAGGCCATAGGGAACCAATGTGGAAACGTTCTCTGAGATTTGTTAAATGAGAAAAGCAAGGTGCCAAAGGGACGAGGGTGAAACCAGTCGGGCATGTTGGTACGTGTGTGAGCAGGGAAGCTGCGGGCAGTACATCAGGGACTGAATAACGTGGGTGCACAGGGAGGGATGGGAGGGGCTCCGCCACAGACCTTTCCTACCTTTTTTTTTTTTTTTACAGACTGTTTTTTTAGAACTGTTTTTTGTTTTGTGTGTGTTTTTAAAAGATTTTATTTATTAGTCAGAGAGACAGAGTACTCGTATAAGCAAGGGGAGGGGCAGAGGGAGAAGCAGGCTTCCTGCTGAGCAGGGAGCCGCATATCCCAGGAGCCTGGGGTCATGACCTAAGCCAAAGGAGACACTTAACCGACTGAGCCACCCCTGTGTCTCTAGAACTGATTTTTAGAGCAGTTAAGTTCACAGCAAAATTGAGGGGAAAGCACAGGGATTTCCCTATAACTCCTGCCCTCCCAGCCACGGATCTTTTACATCTCCATAGTTTTGCCTTTTCTGGAATGTCACATAGCTGAAATCCTATGGTATGGGGCCTTTTCAGACTGGTTTCTGTCCCTCAGTAATAGGCCTTTAAGGTTCCTCCAGGTGTTCTCATGGCTGCATAGCTCATTTCTTTCTATTTCTTTTTAATTTTTTTTTTATTTTTAAAGATGTATTTATTTGACAGAGAGAGAGATCACAAGTAGACAGAGAGGCAGGCAGAGAGAGAGGGGGAAGCAGGCTCCCTGCTGAGCAGAGAGCCCGATGCGGGGTTCAATCCCAGGACCCTGACATCATGACCTGAGCTGAAGGCAGAGGCTTAACCCACTGAACCACCCAGGCACCCCAGCTCATTTCTTTTTAGCACTGAATGATATTCCATTGTCTGGATGAACCACAGGTTATCTATCCGTTCACCTACCAGAGAACATCTTGGTTGCCTCCAAGTCTTGGCAGCTGTGAATAAAGCTGCTGTAAATATCCATGTGCAGGATTTTGTGTGGACACACGTTCTCAACTCCTTTGGGTAAATACCAAGGAATGTGAATGCTAGACTGCTTTACTTTCTGTTTGCTTTTTTTTTCTATCTATGTGAGGATAATACCCATTCAAAAAATCAAGCTACAGAATTTAAAAATAAATATCAATAAAATAAAAGCATTGCTTGTCTGGCTTCCATGCCGGTGAGCTTCTCCTCCCCCACCCATCTTCCAATCCCCAGAAGTGCTCCTGCTGCTGGACCTACTGGGTGACCTGGGGTGAGCAATTCCAGAGAACAAATGTGTCCAGTGTATGCTGGGGCGGGGGAAGGCTTCCTCTACAAAGAAAAAGCTGGATGTCTGCCCAGTGCAGTGTACCAGGTGGGCTTGGAGAGACCAGAGTCCTGCCCCCTCTGACATGCACCTGCTGTGTGATCTTGGGCAGATGCCCCCTCTCTCTGCCTCGGTTACCCTTCTGGAACATAAGGAAGATGCAACAGAACACTCCCGAGTTCCTGGCTGGAAAAGATGGGATTTGGTGGGAATGGCCTGGGCTTAGAAGATAGAACCAGCAGCTTGATCTGCTGAGCAGGGAGATGATAACGCCCCTCCCCCCCCCACCAACCACAACCCCCAAGACTGCTGGGGATGGTCAGGCGCAAGGGCGGATATACACCGCAAAGCCACTGATATGAGGGCGGCTGTCTGGCAGTATCTGACCCAGGAACCCCATCTCTCCCCTGGCCTTCTTTCCTCTGGGCTAATCATTTCTGGCTCCCCTTGTTGTTCCCCATACAGGGAGGGGGTCCCAATTATGTGGGTGAGGTTTCCAGGCAGAAAAAAAAGTCACAGTCCAGTCATGAGACCCTTAAACCCCCCTGGGCTTGCCAACAGCATATAGCGAACAGCCTGTATCCTGCGTCCTGGGGCCACGTGGGACTCTGTGAAGACAAGACTCAGGCTCAGAACTGCGAGGAGTGAGGTCTAGGGCCGATGTAGGAGCGCACATCGCTGCCTCATCAAAGCATCTGCTGGTCGAGCTCGTGCGCTCTGGGGCTGACTTGACATTAAGTAAGTTCCCAGACTCCTTAGCTTCCTAGAAACTCTAGCTAAGACCTGAACTCCTTGGGGCCCAGGGATCCCCCTAGACCTAGCAGAGGGCCACAGACCCTGAGTGCTCAGTGCAGGGAATGGCCATAGCCTGGGTGGTCTGAACGGACCGGCCCCTGGGCTTCCCTGACGCCCCAGCTGGGAAAAAGGGGCAGACCCGTCAGCTCTGGGTGGGCGTCCCCTTAGCCAGAGTGTTGCAGGGGTGCCCACCACCAGGGGGCGCGCGAGGACAGTTCAAATCCCAGGAGGGCCCTCCTGTCCCAGGAGAGGGGGTGACAGAGCAGGGGGGGCTTTGCAGGAAAAAAAAAGGACAAGAAAAGTACATTTAAATGGCTCAACAAGCTCACAAAGTTGGACTTGATTTAAACCAGCTTTTTCCTTTCTTAAAAACATGACACCCGGGCGCCTGGGTGGCTCGGTGGGTTAAGCCTCTGCCTTCAGCTCAGGTCATGATCTCAGGGTCCTGGGATCAAGGCCCGCATCGGGCTCTCTGCTTGGCAGAGAGCCTGCTTTCTCCTCTTTCTGCCTGCCTATCTGCCTACTTGTGATCTCTCTCTGTCAAGTGAATACATAAAATCTTTAAAACAAACAAACAAACAAACAAAAAAACAACCCACGACACCCTCAGGGGCTCCTGGGAGGCTCAGTCCGTTAAATGACTGACTGACTCTTGATTTTGGCTCAGGTCATGATCTCAGGGTTGTGAGACTGAGCCCCTGTCAGGTTCCACGCTGGGCACGGAGCCTGGCTAAGATTCTCTCTCTCTTCCTCTGCTCCTACCTCCCTCTTCCTCTCTTAAAAAATGTATGTGCTTGTGGTGTGTCTATCTATACACATATACATGTGTCCGTGTACCTGACATGCTTTCTGAGGGGACCTCGGCCTGCTGCAGCTGCTGTTTCCCCAGGAGAGGGACACAGACCCTCCTCTTCCTTCCAGGGACTCCAGGCACATGAGGACATGCTATCAGCTAACACGGTGCCCCCTGGGAGACAGCTGTCCCCTTTTCGATGCCTTTCCTCCTCCACAATGATACCAGGAAGGCCTCCCTTCCCCCTACCCACTTTAGCAACTTAGCCTTGGGGCCTGGCCAGAAGCAGCTCTGGTGCTCTTGTCCACTGAGTTCATTTTTATAGTGACTGCCTAAGTGCAGTGAAGGATACGGGCTTCCTGTTTATAGTGATGTTGGAAAGTTCCTCTAAAACACACACACACACACACACACACACACACACACACACACACACTGAGGCAGGTCCGTTTCATGAGGAACACCAAGCGTAGGAAAGAGGGGCACAGCAGTGATGGGGACAGCGTGTGCCAGCCCCTCTGCCTGGCCCTCGCCTGCCCAGGATACCCAGCACCAGGGCTCCCGACTTTGCTCCTTCACATTCCCTGATCTGGCCTCTGGGGACCATAGTGGGCCCTCCCGTGCTGGGTCGAGGTTTCTTAGGCCTGGCCCCTCCGTCCCAGCACCTCTACCTGTCAAACCCCTGTGCATCCTTCCGGAACAGGCTGAAAATGTCACTTTCTTCACAAGTGAGGTTTGTGGCACCACGAGACCCAGTCTGTGCTCCCACCATGTATGTCACTGTTACAGCAGTCAGCCCTCTTCAGGGTCATTTGTGCTGTGTTTGTGGAACCAAGGCTCACCCTGGGTGTCTGTGGCAAAGACGGGGTACGTGGTACCTAGTCCCCCGCCCCTGGCTCTACGTTGTGCCTAGCTGGGCCTGCACTCAGAGGGCGTTGGAGGGACAGCTGTATGCCGGAGCCCAGGGCCCAGGGCAGCTCACCTCGAAGGTTCTTAACGAAGTCCTCCAGCTTCATCTTTCGCTCAGGTTTGACGTTGGGACTGTACATGTCTGTGTTGAGCAGGATGATGGCAAACGCCAGGATGAAAATGGTGTCTGGGTTCCGGAACTGCCGAACCACCCCGGGGTTGCAGATACAGTACCGCTGGCTGGGGTCCGGAAGAAGGAGCAAGATCAGGACCTCCTCAGTCAGGGCTGGACGCGGGTCTGCCCCGCCTCAGGACAGCGCCGCTGCTCAGGCCCCGATGCTGAGGAGCTGAGGCTGGTCACTCTGCTAGGAGACTTGGTTTGCCCATCTGGTCAATGGGGGTAACACCCGCTCCTCCTTATGCTAGTTACACTTCAGCCATCTGTCCTCTACCTGGCGATGGCTGCTGAGGGAGAGGACTGCAGCCTCCCATCTCCCTCGGAATTGGAAGCAGCCCAGAAGGTGAAAAAGTTCCGGTCAGTGGGATATGAGCAGAAGGGATGTGGGCATCTTTAAGGCTGTAGTTAAAGGGCAGAGTCCACTCTCTTCCCTGCCTGGAATGGGGGTGCAATGGTGTGTGCTGGACCTGCTATCTAGGATCCTGAGGTGAGAGGAGCCTGGCTCAGGGAGGGGGTGGGTGAGGTGGGCAGACTGGAGAAGAGGAACCAGGGCGTGACCAAGGCAGGAGCCACTGGAGCTCAAACGACCCAGGCTTCAATCCTGTCTTCTCCATTAATGCCGCCACCTCCAAGAAGTCCTCCTGGAAGGAAGTACCTGAACGACCCCCTCCCAGGGCCCCAGGGTTGTCCTCCTGCTGTGTCCTCATTCCCTACGTTGGCCCCACCGCTGGTGATGAGCCCTGAGGGCTGGGTCAGTGGCTGACTCTGTCTCCCACACCCTGCTCGGGCATGAGGGATCCTGCCCAGCCACTGTGCACACAGTCCTGGGAAGAATGAGTGTGGGGTGGTAGCCGACCTTGACTGTGGGCTCTCTCTTGTGCCAGGCACTGGGCTAAGTGTGCACCCACACCCAAAGTGGTTTAGTTCTTCCACTCTAAGGTAAGTGTTTTTTATGATCCCCACTCTATAGGCAAGGACACGAGGCACAGAAAGATTAAGCAACCCGTGCAAAGTCACAGAGTAAGTAAGTAGCACAGTGGGTGTTAGAGCCAGGCCAATCGGCTCTGCAGCTTGTGTTCTGAGTCACTGTGTGAGATGGGCTGCCCTTTGTGAATGGGCAGCCAGTGACGACACAGACTGATGAATGGGTGATGCTCGTGAGGACCTGGAGGGACAGAGACTGTCCAAAAGTCTAGTTCTAGAGATAACCAGCGCAGGACCTGGCATACAGAAGGGGCTACTTACTACCTCATCCCCCAGGCAAGTTCAGGGCCACCTGCCTTGGGGACAGGGCTGGAGGGGGTATTTGGGCCCTGAGCAACGGGCCTCAGAGCCCGGAACCTTCCTCTTCCTGACACCCACCCATGCCCCGCCCTGCCCCCAACCTGAACGCCTCGATGAGCCGCTCCACCTTCTGAGCCTCCCCTTGGACCCGGATGTGTGCCTGGAACTTCCTGAGGGCTTCATCTAATTCCATGGCAGAGAAATCCATCTCATCCACCACGCAGCTGAAACGAGAGACCACGGCCCCATGAGGGTCTGCTGCCCGCGCAGTCCCTGCTGGACCTCCTGTTGGGGGCAGAGCACCACGGGAGCCCATGCAGGGCAGGCCGTGAGCTGCCCAGAGCCAGGGAACCTGGCCGCTTCTTGTCCAGAAGGGCCCTCTGCCTGGCTTCCTCCGATCACGGAACACTTCAGATTACAGCCCAAAGACCCCTCCCCACCGTGCTTCTGGGAGAGTATATAGACCCCCGGAAACTATAGGAAAATGTTGCTGAAAATCTCTGTAATATTTTTTTTTTTAAAGATTTTACTTTATTTGACAGAGACAGAGATCACACGTAGGCAGAGAGGTAGGAGGGGGCAGTGAGGGAGAAGCAGGCGCCCTGCTGAGCAGAGAGCCTGATGCAGGCTCGATCCCTGGACCCTGAGATCATGACCTGAGCCGAAGGCAGAGGCTTAACCCACTGAGCCACCCAGGCACCCCTCTATGAGTAATTTTCTACAGAGGACCAAAGCCTGTGGTCTCTCCTCCGGGCAGAAATAGCTTGCAGCACGGACATCACACAGGGTGCAGCATGCCTGTCCCTGCTTGAGTCTTCTCGCGCTGTCTGTGAGGGATGCCAGCCATGTGCTCCCATCTCCTCCAGGAGGAGGCAGAGGCTGGCCGCTGGCCTGTCGGGCAGTGACCGTGCACTGAGCACATCTCCCCATGCCAAAGGGCCTGGGGAGAGCTGCCTGGGTTTTGCCAGCTGTCTTTCAAGGTGCCTCTTGGAGGACCTGTGCCATACTCATCTGCCAACCTGCCAATGGGAGCAGAGCCTGCAGAATCGGCTGGTAACTGGGTTTTGTCTGGTTCCCCTCATCCTAGCCCTGCCCTTCCGAACGCCGCGCTCTGTCCTCTGACCCAGATCCCCGAACAAAGGAGGTGGTGTCTGTCCCAGGGACCCACTCAGCAGGCTGTGGTGTCCAGTGGATCTATGTTTAACAAAGTTGTGGCCACCCCTGGGGACACTGTGGAGGCCTCGGCCGTGAGGGGCCTCATCCTTGCTGCCAGGGCCCTTGCTCTGCTAGGTCCGATGGGTTTGGACATAAACAGTAGTGCCCCCGACCTTCTCTGAGCGCTCATGGCTCTGGAGGAGCCATCCTTCAAGGCTGCTGCTGAGCATGTGGGGGAGGGCAGGGGCCACACAGGGTATAATTTGCTGACTAGCCTCTGAGCTGGACGCCTGGTGTTGAGGGTCGGGGGTGTGTGGGGGGGTGAGGATCGCTGCTTCCTGAGGCTGCTGCTATTTTCTGATGGGGGAGAACAATGCACGGATATCCTACGGACCAGCAGCTAGCTTGGGGGTTGGGGAGAGCCTGGGGGGAGCACAGGAATGGCTGCAGGGGGTGGGGGGCTGGCCCAAGACCGTCTTAGGCCCAAGCCACTAAGGACCTCATCTGTTTCCCCCTGAACTGCTTCCTGAGGCTGGTTTAAAAGGCAGGAGAGGAGGCACTAACCCTACAAACAAAGCAGCAGGTCCCCCGCCCCCCCCCCCCCACCCCCGGTTAAGGGCCAGAAAAGAAATGGCAAGTGGGGAGAAGGCAGCCCAGGTGGGCACGCCTGGCCAAGGAAGGGCACAGACGCCATTCTGCTGGGTACTAGCTACAGCAGCCGCCAAAGGCTGTGGCTCACTGCGTCCTGTGCGTCTGTGCACATGCTGGGTATACGTGTGACTGAGTAAGTACGTGTGCCTAGAAGTCTACGCGTGTGGGGGTGGGGAGCACCCGGGCCAGCCCTTCCCTGAGCCCGGGGTTTCCTCACTTGTAAGAGGCCTCAGGCAGCTGCCCGCCTCCTCCCAGGGGCGGCTGCAGACACAGGCACACAGGTGGCCGTGGCCGGGCTCTTCCTTACAGCGAAGACGCCCAGCCCCAGGAGGCTCACTGCCCACCCCCTTGGCTTTGTTCTCTGGACGATGCAAGGCACTGCCCTTGTTACTAATGGTTTGCTGTCTACCCCACTTTGATTCTGCTCCTGGTCTACATCTCGGTGTGTAGCTGCCTGGTCAGAAATACCCTCAATGACAGGCCTGGAGATGCTCCCCCAGGGGCCCCGAGCCCCGCTAGTCCGTCCTATCCCACAGCTTTGACCCCTCCTCTGTGAAAGGGGCTTAAGCTAGACCCGACACCCACACCCATGTGTTTGAGGATGACGCAGGGCCAGAACACAGTATAAACCCAAGGGTCCAGCTACTGGGGGCCTTTCTACTTAGGGCAGTCTCAAGGAGGAATGGAGAGATTTGGGGTACATGTTCTTGAAACTATCAGCGGTTTCTAGGGAGCAGGAAACGGATTTTCTGCAGAGTTCCAAGTAGCTGGGAAGGTGGTGGCTGCCAGCCTTTGTTAGACTCTTACCTCTAGGTCTCCCAGCCAGGAGAGGCAGGAGAGAGACACAGAGGAGACAGGCACTGGGGTCCCTCTGGGCTCCTCACACCGCATCCCTCCACCCCCCAGCACAAGGGCATGTCAGGATGGCTGGCAGTCAGGCTGGGGGAGTGAGCTCAGATCGCCAACCCCACCCCCCCACCTCGAGCATGGTGGTGGCTCTGCCCTGCTGGAGAGGGATGGAGGAGTCAAGGGTGCACGTTGGGGGACCTGTAGGGTTGGTGTGTGAGCTGTAGAGCCAGAGGGTGGATGCACGTGTGTACGCCTGGTAGGGGGTGACGTGCAAAACCACGTGGGGTGTCTGTGTGCATCTAGGAGCAAGGAAGAGCTAAGGGGTAGATTTGGGCCATGTTCCAGCGGCACAGGTCAGTACCCCCGCCCCCACACCTCCCGGCCCTGGAACTCACTCGAGCACGTCCCGGTTGAACTGCTTCTGCCGGTTGCCCAGGAACTCGCCGATCATCTGTCTGCTGAGGCCCTTGCGCTGCAGCAGGAAGTGGGCGACCCCCACTGGTGTGTCGGGCACAAAGCCGCGCTCGATGAGGTACTGGACGCCCTTCTCAGGCTTCCTGGTGAGGGTGGGGTGAGAGACAGGCTCAGCCGTGGCTGCCCCAGCCCCTCCTGGCTGGCCCTCTTCCCTGGGGACTCTGGGTGCCCGGCCCTGGTCCGTCGGAGGGACCCAGAACTGTGCAGACCCTGCACCAGGCGGAGGCTGGGACTGGGCCATGAGCTGGTGCGGGGCTGCAGGTGCCAGGGCAGGGACCGTCCCACCGCCCCCGTGTTCTGCACTGCCCCATACACCCCTTGGTGTAGAAGTCAATGCCCCGAGTTTCACTTCCAGGCAGACTGGAACCCCTTGCCCAGCACATCCTGGCCGGCCCTCCGCCCCACCGATAACAAACTACCTTTTCTGTAAGGACTTCCTGAGTTAACACAGTCAGGTGCCTGGAACCACACGTGCACGAAGCACCATGGAAGGTTCTCACGACTAGCCCCAGCTGAGAGGAGAGGAAGTGAAGTTGCAGCCTTGACCCTTCCTGAGCAAAGAGGGTTTCTGGGACAGGCTAGGCTGGCCCCGCAGGGCCGAGGGAGTCCACCTGCACCGGGAGCCATGCGGCCTGGCTGCACTGTGGTGGAGGAAGGCCCCCTCACGGGCTCAGCAGGGGCCCAGGCTGGCCCTTTCCTCCCTTTGGGCCTCTGTCCCCCTGCTGGTCTGTGGCATGGACCAGGCTTGGCTGACCTCCTAGGGTGGTGCGAGGGGGTGACCTCGCACTCTTGGAAGGCAGATGTCCTCTGACAATCCCAGAGCCTCAGACGGGCCTGAGGAGCTGTGGAACCCTGGCAGTGTACCCGGCACCCATGCGTGGGTGGCGGGGGGAGCCGGGCCCTCCCGCTGTGCCCGGCAGGTGGAGATCAGAGTTCTGATCTCCCCTAGCAGCCTGGAGGCAGCAGCGGGTATCCACCTGTCCCCATAAACCATGTGGCTCCTGACTGACAGCAGCATCCAACACAGACTGTATTTCCACCTGCAAGCAAAAACAGGGCCCCTGCTGCAAGGTGACCTTGCTATTTTTAGCCCAGGATGACCACACACCCTAACATCACCTTCAGGCGTTCAGCTGGGAGTGGCTGCTGGCCAGCTGGGCCCTGGCACGGCTCCCCCTCTCCTTCCACAGACCCCATTCCTCCCTAGGATTCTGGTGTAGCCAACCAGGAGCTTCTCCAGCTGCTCGGCTGCTCACGCTCCCTCACGGCCCTGCTCCACTCCAGCACCCACGGGGCCCCAGCCCATGCCCACTTCCCTCTTCCTCATCTTCGAGGTCAGAGGTCACCCCGGCAAGCCCACAGACGTCTTTTCTTTAGCTTACACGACGTTAACAGTAGGGATTCTAGTGAACACACAGAAACTGGGGTAGCTCAATCTAGAATCCAGATTTCCAGCTTCTCTTGAAAAATCAGGCCAGCTGGCACTCCCTGGCCTGTGCTCCTGTGTGGCCGTGACCAGAGTGCTGGGCTGGGCCACGCCACTCAGGCATCCCGTCAGCCCCTCGCCTGGGGGCCCAGATCCAGTCCTGGCCTACTTCCTTGGGGGGCTGGCTGCTGTCCCCACTTGGCCCCCTCCCGTGTTTACACACCAACGTCACACAGTATCTCGGACTTCAGGATCCGGGCTCCTCTGCCTGGAAGGAACAGAACACAGTGGAGGAGTGGAACACACCGCAGGAAGGAGAATCTTACAAGGGGCCATGGGAATGCGGATTCTTCACAGATTAAGTACCCAGACTCTACTTTCTTGTTAGGTACTGCTCAGGATGACGGCAGTGATGGGGGCTGGTCAGGAACACCCCACAATGGCAGGCTCTAATCCTTGGTCTAAGGACAAAAGGACTGAATCAATGATAGCTGGAGAGGAGAGGGAGGGGTTTCTGCAGGAAAATGAGATGCTTTCTCTGAGCAGGTGACACTGGGCAGTGACCCAAGTTCTTAGAAAGGTTTCTGGGTAGAGGCAACAGTGAACGCAAAGGCCCTGAGGTGACAAAGGGTTTTGCAGGATCGAGGACCAGAAGGCTATCTGGGGTGGCTAAGAGGAGGGATCTTGGGGGAGGTGAGAGGAGAGCAGCAGGGTGGGTGGGCTGGATCCCACAGCGCTGTGGAGGCCACAGGGGGAATCTGGCTTGCCTCTAAGTGAGAGGAGAAGCCGTAGTGTGTTCCGAATCGGGCAGTGATGGGACCTGACGTCTGTGCTCTGTGAAGGGCAAGGCCAGGTCTGAAGTGTAAGCTCAGCGAGGAGCCTCCCACAGGCATCCAGGCTGCAGGGCAGGAGGTGGGGAGAAGCACTCAGTTTCCCAACACTGCCTCAGGGTAGAGATGACAATAATTACTGGTGGATCCGAGGTTGAACCCGATGGCTCCTGCTTCAAGTCTGAACCAAAGGTGGGAGGGACTGGTTCCACCCGGCAGGTTTCATCGTGACGTCACAGGAGAAAGGAATCTGAACTCATTGGACCTTGACTACTGACCAGGAGCTTGCCCAGCAACTGAGGCAAAGGATGGGGTGGCCGGAGGTACAGTTAGGGAGCTGGGGTCGGGGGTGCAGTCCAGGCTGGGGGTCCAAGGTCAGGATGAACGTGGTTCTCCAAGGAAGCCTCTGGATGGCTTTATGAAGGTGAGTGGTCTGGCCTTCACCATCCTCTTCAGGCAGTGCGCTGGACATCCGAGGATGTGAGTTCCCGGCCTGTGGAGACCTTGCTGGTCCCGTCTACCTCAACAGTGCAGTGAGGCCCCGAGTGTGCTCTTGGGGGCCCTGCCAGGCCTCCTAGATCCACCTGCTCCCTTGCAGAGCTCCATGCTGACTCAAGGGGAACGTGCCCTAGGTCTTGCTAAATGTCACACACAGTGACCTGCTGGGTGAAGGGGAGCATGGGGAGGAGTCATTAGTGCTGTGCACCCTTGTGGCACTTAGGGGACCAGGTGACATACCACGGCCAATGCACTGTGAAAGAAGGGATGCGTGGCTCTTCCTCTGGGAGCCGTGTGATCTCTATGGTGCCTTCCCTTGCCATAGGGAACCAGGGAGCCCACTGTGAAATGATTCCTCTGCTCTCTAGTCCCTGAGAGACTTGGTGCACACAGCACCTGGCCAGCCTGTGACAGATGCTGATGCGACAGAGGAATTAAGCTGTGCTGTGTCAGCAAGCCAGAGCCCACCCAGACTGGCAAAGAAGGGGGAGTCTGGCTACGAAGCTGGGTCCCAGGGAATCTGGTTCCACCCCAAGGCACAGACACAGTGGTGGGGCTCTGTCTCCGTCCCCAGCTGTGGCTTTCCATTCCCTTCATTATGAGGGTGCTGCGGGACTTCTGTCTGGAACCCCAGGCCCTAAGTACTGAAAAGGACACAGACTGGGGTCACCTGGTTCCTATCCTTGGGTCCAGCAAGGGCCTGGCTTACACAGAGCTCACCCAACAGAAGAGGAACAAAACGTGCCCCGGGGAAGGCATGCCTTTGCCGGCATCACCAGCACCGTTTTAAAACCTTCCAGGGCCTCGCAAACCCTGCAGGACAAGATCTGGGCTTTCTGCCCCTGGATTCACATCTTCATTCATTGCACAAACATCTATCGAGCACCTCTTCTGGGCCTGGGGTTGTGCTAGCAGGTCTGTGGCCCAAAGTCCCCATCCCTAGAGACGCCTGGGTGGTTCAGTCAGTTAAGCGTCTGCCTTTGGCTCAGGTCATGATCCCAGGATCCTGGGATCGAGCTCTGCATTGGGCTCCCTGCTCAGCTGGGAGCCTGCTTCTCCCTCTTCTTCCGCCTGCCATTCTGCCTGCTTGTGCTCGGTCTCTCTCTCTCTGACAAGTAAATAAAATCTTATAAAGAAAGAAAGAAACAAACAAACACCAAGAACCCCACAAAAACCAACATAGCCCCATCCTTGAAAAACACCCTAGCTGGAGCGTGGTAAAGGTGGAACATAAACTCCCAGGATACTCCCATAAACTCCCCAAAATACTCACAGCACAGGAATCACAGGTATGTTCTCTGGAGCCAGAGGCCTGTGCTCAAACCCAGGCTCCACTTACAGGCTGGGTGACCTGGGCCGGGTTACTTAATTTCCCTGTGCCTCAGCTTTCCTGTCTGAATAATGGGGCCAGTGATGGTGTAGACGGTGGAGGTACTGTGAAGGTTAAATGAGTCAATGCCCCTGAGCCTTCAAAAATATTGCCAGTCCTATGGCTCCAAGAGGAGGGTCAGCAACAAGCAGAAGTAAACCAAAGCAGTACACGGGGACCTGGAGAAAGGCGTGGACTTCAGCGGGAAGGGGCGGGAGGGATGACCCGGAACCACCTCCCTGGGGAGGTGGCACTGAACCGGGAGCTGGGAAGAGGGATCCCAATAGAAAGAATGGCCAACGCAAAAGCCATATTTGACTCATAATGCAAAGAAGGCACAGGAAGGTCAAATAAGTGGCCTCTAGGAGGCCAGGCGACAGAAAGCGTGCCAGGAGTCTCAACCCATTCCTCTGCTCCAAGAAGCTCCGCAAAGTTTCACTCTGCCCTCCCCCTCCACTGCTGCTGCAAAGCCTGTCTGTCGGGCTGCCGGGCCAGCTTGCTTCTCTAAGGGCCCAGTGTCAACAGGTGCTGAGGGGGACATTTGCACCATCTGCACCTGACCTGCCTCTGCGCTCTGGGCCCCACTGTAATGGGTCCTTGAAAAGCTTTAGCAGGACAGGCTGGAGTGGGAGAGGCCAAGGCTTGGCCCTGCTGTGGGCCGCCAGGTGGGGCCGGCTTTGTTCCACGTCAGCTGCTGATTCAAACTTGGTTGTGCCAGGCAAGCGCCTGCAGACCCCACCAGGGGCGGCTCTCATGGTCACCTCCTGTCCCTGGGCTTTGAGCAGTCAGTGGGGACACTGAGCTGGCGGGGCCCCAGGGAGGGCGGTTACAGGGCGGGCACCGCGCTCACAGCTCACCCACTTGCTGGAGCCTCAGCTGAGTGCTCTGCAGGCTCTTGTCCCAGCAGGGCTCTACAGGCTTCTCCTGTCCTTTCTAGTTACCCGAGCCATCGCGGAGACA